TTGTATAATGTGTAATGAGTAAAGAAATAATACACTGCAGCAAATAATAGGTAATCAAGCAACCAATAAGATAATAAACAATGAATTAGCCTCCCTTCTATAATAGCTAGCTCTTCATGGCTGTAAAACTTCATTGTCAACAACAAAGACACTAACCAACCCTTACATCATTGTAACAATAAGCAGACACATTGCCCAAGACAATGAAGCGCAACACAACCATTTAAAAAAGTACGCTGTTGGGGTCAGACACAGTGAAACACTTCAAATGTACTTGGATGTCTCTTGGACAATTTAAACATTGTTGTGTTGAAATATTTAATCCTGTTTTGCGCTTATCCAAGGATCTTTCCAATCTTCAATTCTTAATGTCCCACCAAATACTATTAAATTTTACAAGTGAAATCTTAGAAATGAGGAGTATCCGTTACGCACAATTCATTTTTGCTAGTACATCTGTAACACTAGCACAACACATCATGAGGCTGGCAACATGTGGTACACAAAGATAATTTTTCTCTACATTCTTTTATTTTCCTGTCTATTGCATATAAGAAATGAGACTGTTATTATTAATGTACCTGAAAACCACCTTCATTTAAAGTGCGAGCTCCATACTGGATAACTGTTCCACCTTCCAGAAATGGTTTAATTGCAGGATGATGCTTAAGTTTCTTGAGAACCAAGAGATACGAAAGGGGAGAGAGGAGGAAGAATCAAATAAAATAATTAAGCAAATATAGTGATCAGGAATTCAGCACCTGTATGTAACTTCACAAATTCTTAAACAGATATTGTACTGAAAACAACAAACCCTTTCACAAGAAGAACCAAAACATAATTGTTAATTTGACTTGTCAGAATATACCTAATATCTTCTACCCACCTAATTGCCGAGAACGAGGGAAGCAATTTCTTTGTTTATTTTAGCATCTTCAAAAACACTTATGGTATATTTGATTCTCCTCACTTTTTTTGTTGTTATAAGAACAATTTTTTTTTTTAAATTTCACAAATACAACACTCAGAAATCAATCTCAATCAAAATAAAGTTTTGAAAATTATTTCCAAAACAAGTGTATAGCAATAGTAGAAAGATGCTTTTTCGTTCCCTTTTTCTATTTTCTTCAAGTGCTTAGGGTATCAGTTATTTCATATTCTTGAAGCCGCTACTTGTTAGTATCTTTTATAAAATAAAAATGTTTTTCGAAACAGTAAACAAGCCCTTAACCTTCCCCTTTTATGTTTCCATATTAAAAAAAGTATGACGCAAGGTTAATACCGAGTAACTTAGACTAGATGGAAATATTTTTTAAACATGTGATATAAAAATATCATTAGAATAATAAAAATTACCTGAAATTCCTCATACGGATTCAAGAACGGGTTTTGATAGTTTAAAGCAACCACAAGGCCAATAGATATCTGTCACAATAGTAAATGAAATTCTTGAAATGAGGAATATATCATCAGCAAAATGAATTACGAAACTATTTGGAAAACTTCAACTTCTGTAGCTTTCAAAGTCTGCCAAAATAAATGCACACGACTCCTTAATAACTTGCTATAAGATGATACTTATTAAAGAACAGAAAACCATTAAGAACTGCATGGCACTAAAAACAGAAGGCAGGGAAACAAAGTCTTACTTGATTATCTTTCATGTGATACAGAAAAGATCCTCCATATGTTTTATGATCTAAAGGCCATCCCAAAGTGTGGATTACAGCCCCAGGTTGATGTTTTTCCTCATCAATTTCCCAGACCTAAGAGTATGATATTTGGTTAACGAAAACAGATACCATATTTGGTTACTACAACAGTCAGTAAGCAATCAATCTTCATTAATGTATTGAACAATAAACACAATCCTGATAGACTGTAGTTTTTAACCAAAAAAAAAAGGAAAATCTTTTTTGGGAATTTCTTTATGAAACACATGAATACCTCTTTAATTCCCAAAGCGTATGTCTGGTGTTCTGCACCTCCCCTCTCTCTTAGGTTGTACTTTTTTATTATTTTCTGTAAGAAACACGATTGAAAGTGTTGCTATCAAAAACAGGATTTGACAGGAAAACTTGAATCTGTTCAATCCTAAAATTTGATGTTCAAACCTCTGACAATGATCCTCTACATCCCTCAGCCAGAAGTGTTATGTGGCCTGCATGTGATTCAATAATTACACAGTTAACAAGTAACCCACATAAATATACAAATAACCATATCTCATTGGCTATTACAAATATATGCATGGTTCATGGAGCAATATAAGGGAAAGCACAGAAGTCATAAGCTCGGAGTGAGCAATGAAAACTACCAAATGTACAGGGCTTTGTTTCATATTTGAGAATATCATATGCCGTAAAAATCACAACTGCTTAACTGTGACTGTGTCCAAAACTTGTTTCTATCAACAAGTTCGAAATTTGCCATTCCCATTCTAAAAAAGATAGGAACATTCACAAATATTTGCACATGAAAGAACAAATTATTGGTCCAAACAAAAGGGAATTACCTAGAGCATCTATACAAGCATTAAATAGGGAAACCTTTTTGCTCAGAAAAATGAAATAAATCCCATAAATATGTGTCTGAAAGAAAGAAACATGTGAAGTGAAAACCTTTGATCTCGACGCCACGTTGAAAATTCTCCTTCTTTGAACCATCTTTTGCAATTCCCATATCATTAGTGCCAATACCAATAACTTTGTTGTTTGCATCATATAATATCTGGCCAGGAAAAAAAACTTGAAAACAGTAACAGACGTGTAAAACCAACATCCAAACAAAAGCAGAAATACCTCACTAGCAGCAAATCCTGGGTATATTTCCACTCCTAACTCTTCAGCTTTTGTTCCCATCCAACGTACTAACTGACTTAGGCTGTAACAGATGGTCTAAAATAAGAAGCTTCTCCAGAGTGGGAGGGAAGATACGAGAAGAAAAACATTGAACAAGCATCTTAATGCGGGAAAATTAAAAAGGGATCTCCAATCTCGAATTTTTTCTTTAATCAACAAGAAAAACATTAGAAAGAAAGTATACAAGGACAAAACTACTTAATGATTAAAAAGTAAAAAAGAAAATTAAAATAATATGTTGTTCTTCTAGAACTTCACATCATGAAAGACAGATTACGGATTGTATTCCAGATATATTCTCCATTTGAAAATTCTAATTTTGAAAATTAATGCTATGCATAGTACACTCTCCAGCAATTTTAGTTTGTAATGCAACGTACCAACTGATCGATAAAAATTTAAAATAATGTTTTCTTAAGAGAATAAAACAACATCATTAAGCTTGAAACCATTATGCATCAATTTCCAAAGTAGAAAAAAAAACAAATTGGAGATTCAGTAATCAATCGAGTAAAAATCAAAATTTCACACAATTGATTCAGTACGAAGCAAAAGATGTTGACTGCTCAGGTAAATTTATAGCCTCTAGCCGTATGAAATAAAAATAGAATGCTATATAAACCTTATTACATAGTTGCCTTGGTTGTTGAAAGGAGACGGAAGCGAAATTGCACGACCTTTGGTCAGAAACCAAAACTTGTCAGAAGAAACAGGAGTGGTGATCGGAGCCTGCAGCAGATAAAAAACAAAACCTCAGTTCGAATCATCAGTCAAAGAACCTACAAACCACTTCGTAACACAATCAAACAAAAAAAAACGAACGCACCTCTTGCTCCTTCCACTGCGGAAGAAGCTCATTCAGTGCGCGAGGTTCAAAAACGTTTCCAGATATAATGTGAGCACCTAAGCGCAACAGCGAAGAAATCGCAAATATCAACCAAGACGCGTTCACATCAAGAAATAAAGTAACATAAAAAATTCAACCAAAAAAAGGAATTAAAAACGTTAAACGCTACTCACCTACTTCGGCACCTTTGTCGAGGACACAGACGGACAAATCGGCGTTTCTTTCGCGGCACATTTGCTTAAGGCGAATCGCCGCCGACAAGCCGGCGGGGCCAGCGCCGACGATAACGACGTCGTACTCAATGGAGTCCCTCTCCGACGAGGCGGTGCAGAAAGTCCGAGAGGTCGGAACCCTAGAATTGAAACGTGCAGGTGGCTTAGAGAATGAGAAAGCGATGTGAGAATAGCGAGGAGAAAATACATGATGAGAATTGTTAGCATTGGGAGTGTGGATTTTTGTGTGAAGGCATTGGGATGTAGTGGTTGCTCGAAGAAGATAACCGGTGCTGGCGATTTTGGATTTGGATTTGGAGAAGAGAGAGCGAAAGTTGAGCATGATGCAATTGCAGTGTGAGTGATCTTTTTTTACATTATCATATCGCATACATGAGTTTGAACAGCACACGTAACACGTTGACGTGTTCCAACACTTCTTCTACCACCATCTTCGCGGTTCAGTAATCTTTGGACCGTCATCTGGGTTATTATTAATATGGATATCAAGATACAAATATAAATACAAGACCCAAGTGATTTTCTAACTGAAAATTTTGATTGATTTGTATGATCATAAAATCAATATTCTTTAAAATATTCTTTCCCTTTTATTCCATTTCTTTCCTCTACTTTTCATCCCGCATTTTCTTTCTACGAAATAAAAGGTTTATGATACAATAAAAGTAAAAACTCAATTAAATATTTAATTTTTTACTATAATATTGATATAGAGTATTCACAAAATAATTTAATATTAATCTTTATTCGAGATTATACTCCCCGAATCTTTCTTATAATATTTTTTTTAATTTATAAAACTTGAATACAAAATTTAGTCCAAATTTAGTAAAATATCAGTTTTGGCCTAAATTATTATAAGTTTATCACAGGGAAAAAATCTTAGCCTAATTTATTAAGAGTAAGTTAATAGATTGGTTCATCATCTTTATTTTTAATTTTTAATTTTTAATTTAAAAAATGTGGATTAAGTCGTTCCGTTCTTACCCACTTTTCAAAGTTTTTTAAGCCCTTCTTTAATATATTAGTATTATTTTAAAACACAACATTGAAGTTGCAAAGTATATGTTATTGATTAATGCAATTACACCATTTAATAATATAAATAAAAGAAAATTTAAATCCACACGGGAACATGATAGACTTAGAAAGTAAAGAAAAAGGTAAATTAGTGATATATTTGTTGATTTTAAGGGTAAGATAAGGTGGCAATGTGGTTATGAGCAACAGTTCCGATCCAAAGCTTCCCTTGCTCCTCTCTCACTTCACTGACCAGCTGCATAACCTCACCTTCTCGATCTTCAAGAACTTCCAAAACCTCTCCCTTGTCGTTCAGAAGTGAAATCACAGTGTACATTCTCATCCCCATTGTTCTAGCCAACAAGCTCATTCTGATGGGCAAACGGAAGTAAATGTTCCTCAACCATGGATTATGACTCAGAACTTCTTGTGCTGGAGTGCGACAACAATCTATAGCCACCCAGAATTGCCCTTTTCCGTTCATTCTTACGTTGTCAGGGAACCCCGGAAGATCAGCCAAAAGTTCCACACTTCCACTTCTAGGACCCTCTAGCCAAAACTTCATTAACCTGTCATCATTAAACAAAACTAACATGATTTTTAAGGTGGTTGGTGTCATTCTTTAGTTGTACCAATCATCTGTTATGAAACTGTTTAACCATACATTAGTTGAGTAAGTTATACATGGCAGACGTAGTTACCTGCAATTGGTGGTTTCAGTGAAGAGAAGGAAGGATTGATCTTCAGAAAATTGCACTCCATTAGGAAAAGCAAGGCCATCCAAAACAACATGGGTTGTTTTAGTAGGAGGATCATATCTGAGGAGCCTACCAGTAGCTTCTCCTTCCAGTAATATAAAAAAGTGTGCACTACAAACAAAACAAGTGATCAGTGGAACCATTAGGACCTAAATTCATAGACAACAATATTACAAGGATTCCATGCATGCATATATAGTATGTGACTGAATAAACGTTTACACTCTGTTGTATCTTTTGCTGGTGTCTGTGAAGAAGATGGATCCATTCCTATGAATGTCAAGGTCATTTGCGAAGAGAATGGGTTTTCCTTCAACATGGGTTGCCAATGATGTGGCTAATCCCCCATTTGGTCCAACCACAAGAAGGCCATAGTATGCGTCTGCTATGTATAGATCTCCACTCTCTTTGTCAAATCTTAGACCTAAGGGACGCCCACATGTCTTCTCATGCTTCCATTGTTTTGCAGTGGTCGAATCATTGCCCCTAAAGCAAAGCTTCTCCGTCCTTTAAATTAAGACAAAGACATAAACATAAGTAGACCTATAAAAGAACGTTCTCAGAATATGTTTAGCTAAAGTAGCATGTGAATTTGGTAGTTTGTCCAATTTTTCATTGGTATGAGACCACATATGTCATTGACAAAAGACAATCTTTATCTGGGTCAGCGAAATAAAACTCCTTTGAGTTTTCAAAGTAGATGCATGACAGAGTTGATCTTTAAACTGACACAAGTGTCGTGGTTTGTTTAATTTATGTACTGAATTTGGAGTCGAGAGAAAGTTGAAATGAAGTAAGATTTTGGTGACAGTTACCAATTAGAAGTGACAACAGCAAATGTTTCCCAACCAAGTTCCTCTCCCATCCATCGAACAACTCGTCCATCGGCTAAACCAGTGTAAGGGCCACGACCCATGTTATCGAACTCGAGCGACTCTGGTCCAAAGACTTGATTATTGAATTCTGATTTCCCATAGCGTGCTAACCTGCTCATGTTGTCCCTGGGCCAATTTTTCATGACTTTGTGGTATGGTGCAATGTCATGCTTCACGGGTCTGAATTCATGCGCAGAGAGAGGACCCAGATGAAAAGGGTCCATCATAACGAGGCCAAAAACCAGAACAAGAGTTAGAACAAAAGGGTGTTGGAGAAAGGTTTCATCCTTGATGAGTAGTTTTAGTTTTGTTTTCTCCATGCATGGAACGAGAGAATGAGAAAGGAAAGGAGAGAAAGCAGAGTTTAGGCGCAATGGTGATGGTCTAACATGGTAGAAGTATAAGCACTTGGTGGAGTCTGGTATTTGAAAGGTTTGAGAAGTGTTGGTAACATGCATTGTTAATGATGGGGTTTATGGTTTGGAGTAGGTTGTCTTTCGTTGTCCACGATGTTCGCATTTTGGAAAACAACAATTGATTTGTGAAAAGTGTTGTGGTAGTTCATTCCGAAATGTCGTGTGTGCTGATTCCTGAATGAAAAACAAAATAACAACCGTAAGGATATGAATTTATGAATGATGCTGTGGTGAAAGTGACCAATGCTATGATCAAACAGGAACCTGTAGTGTTCTTCTACAGTTAACAGGAACATCGAGAGTACTTCTGCAAACATGCAGAGTCACCATTGCTTTGTTTTCTTTATCTTAATTTTAACGACGATGAGAAGGTAAAAACTGAGTTGTTTCATTCTTTATTGTGTAATTAGACTAACCATACTTCTATAAACAGAAATTTTTTACATTTATTTCATACTACTACGTACCTTTCCCGGTTTCTTTCCCTTTACAAATACAAAAATTCACTCTCTTTACTTAATTTAGTTTTTATATATAAAAAAACTAGTCTTTAATATTTTTTTAACTACACGTATTCAATAATACTTAATTTAGTTTATAAAAAAAAAAGTTGTCTTTAGTATTTTTTTTTAACTACACATGTACTATATGACTGAAAACATCTTAAATAATACAGTGTAACATCATCTCGACAAAAATTAATTAAGATTTAGGCATTGTTCTTTTGAGTGGATTTGAAGATAAATTTTTTGTCATTTACTTGAGTGAATTTGGAGCTAAATGAAAGTGAATTATTTTCAAATTCACTCTCATTTACCTCCAAATTCATTCAAATAAACGACAAAATTTTTTTATCTTCAAATTCCCTCAAATCCACTAAAAAGAACATATTTTGACTAAAGAAAATAAAAATAAAGCATAATTAACAAATTTGTTATATCATGCATCTATTATAGTTTTTATTATCATTTAAGGCATATACCTAAACTTTGAGCATAAACTTTGAGCATGAGAGTGTTTTAGAAGCATATCTAGTCTCAAACAGTGACAGTATCTTATACCTAACACATCTGAGACTACTTGGAAACAAAGTAAAAACATATCAAAATAAAAACTGAAAAATGTAAAGAAGTATCAAATAGAGAATATAAATGAATGTAAAAATATATTATGATTTCTTGCTTTATAAACACCAATAATACTTTCTAGTAATTCCTTTTTATTACTCTCAACTGTTTTTTTAAAATTTACTAAAATTAATTCAACTATTTATCCTATATTGAAATTTTCAAATTAAAACCATTTTAAAACATATTTCGAAAAGTATGATTTGGAAGTATCTCAATGGATCACATAGACACGATAGTATATATATATATATATATATATATATATATATATATTATAATAACTTATAAATCAATTACTTTTTCAACGTAAATAAACAATAGTCCCTAGTCTAAAAAAGAATGATATATTGTTCTAATTTTAACATTTAAATTTTACAAAACATACCGTTCATATTTCGTTTAAAATTTTAAAATAATTAGATAAATTTTTTATTAAGTTAAATTATTTTTTTATAAAAACAATAGTTTTACTAAAATGTTTAAGTTATATTTAATAAAACTAACTTATATAAACTACTTATTTTTTATCTAATATATTAATTTATTAAATTAAAAGTATAAATCTGCATATTAAATGAATTCGAGGAGGATTAAATTGATTTATAATTTATTAACAAAAAAAATTTATTAATTTTTTTATTTTTTCATAATTTATAATTATTTACTATTTTTAACTATGTAGATTAATTTTTTTTAAATATTATAATGATATTTAATAATGTTTAAATTATTTAAATTTTTAATTTATTTGTTTACTAAGTTGAGATGTAACTATATATATAACATATCTGTCCTGAAATTAGCATATTTTCTGAGTATTAGTTAAATTTGGCATCAAGCAAGACATTAGATATCTGCCTAAATAAACAAGAAAAATTATATGAAAACAAACAAGATTATTAGGTGAATATTGGTAGATGGGTTGCCAATTTCCCAATGCACACACTGATGTGTTGCTACAAATACAAATAATATAATATAATCAAAGATCTGAAAAACCTTAATGTTATACAAAATATTTAAATTTAAAACAGTTATAAATTGAATAAAAATTAAGTAGGTCTTCTCTCATCCTCTCGGTCATGAATTATGAATCAATTGATACTAAAATCTCTTCCTCTTACTCAGTTCCTCTTAATCCAATATTTGATGTTTCACAGATACATTGGCTAAGTCCCACATAGGATATATGTATTTGTTTAGAGTGGCAAATGCTAATAATACCTTATCACAAGACGGATTAAATTATCTTTGCGCTTGGGGCAATGACGCAGCTAGTGAGGTTCTAACCGAGGCGCGTCTGTTGCTGGTTGAAAACTATTTCCAAACCCCCTCTTTGGCCTGGCTTCATCCTAGGCCTTTGAGAATTTCTGAAAAGGGCTTCCTTAGTGGCAAGTCCTATGAATCTTAGTCTACAGTTTTATGATGAAATAATACTTTATTAATTTTGTATTGTTGTTTTGATTTAAATGTTAATGTATTATTATTAGTTCATTATTCTGATTTATTTGAATGTCAATGTATTATTTGACTAGTTTTGCAACTGACGAGTTAAAGTTTCAAAATATAAAAGTTATAATGAGTCTGTGTTTAATTATTTAGTAACAATAGATGTCGAAAATATTTAACAATTGTGGGAAAAATTAAAATTAGGAAACATGAAGGTTATGCAAAAAAAATAGTTAACATGTTTCTGTTGGATAAAGTTTCTTTACAAAATACTCAATAGTATTTTTGTTAAAAATGTTTTGTAACTCTTTTAAAAGGATGTTAAATTGTTTTATAATAATAGAAGCTGAAAAATTAATCAAAACTCAATAACAGAATACATATCTAATTAAAATTCTATACTAATGCCGATTAAAACACCTGAAACGATGATAATAAAAATCAAATAAAATTATATTATATCATGACTAAGCAAACATTTCTGATGAAAGTCCACATCGACTGTGTTAGTGTATAAACCGATCATAGATCGTTATATAAGATGAAAATGTTCTCTAGTACCTCTCACGGAGCCATGAAATAAGCACATAGCGAACTATTCTTTCGCCTTTTACTAAAGGATACCGTGTGTTTGTTTCAACAAGTGGCATACGCCTATTTTTGGAAGAGTCCTTTTTATAGGGCTCTGTAATTATAGTTCAAAATTAGTATTACTTGACTATGGAGACCTTTTTTGGAAGAGTCCTCCAAAACTGGAAGAAGCCATTTTAGAGTACTATGTAACTTTAGGTCAAAGTTAGTTTTACTTAGCTATAGAAGCTGTTTGTGGAGAAGTCTTCTAAAACTCACCAATTTTAGTTCAAAGTTAGTTTTGCTTGGTTATCGAAACTTTTTGAATGTGATTAGTCCCATGGTTCAGGAGATTTGAATTTTACTGTCAGTGTTTAATTGTAACATTAATATAGACTACATGTTTTTTTGAAGTAGTTCTTCTGTATAATCAACTTCCAATCCTAGGATGATAACAGGTAAGATAAATATTTCCTTTCAATTTGTCTTATTTGTTATTTCAAATGGATTACAGTTGTACATGAGTGCTGACTAGTGTACACATGAGTGCTGACTAGTGTACTTTGTACCTCTAAATCTAATTCGACCGAGTTGCTAATGTTAAGGAGTACCTTTACTTTTTAGAAATTTTAAAAACTGGTATGTTAGGTACTTTAAATTAGTTTGAAGAATTACTTATTCTGGTGTTTAGTGTTAAGGCAAGTGCATTGTCATGACTTACTGAAACGTGTAAAAGATGTTTTAGGTGATCTTAAAATGATGTTTATTCACTTAGTCATTAATGCCACTTAAATTTCAGCTTCTTCTTTTGTCACATGTAAATACAAACTGAATTTTTAGTGAAAGGCTTTATGAGCTTATCACATGCCTATCTGGACAGGAAGAGTCTATTTCTACATTGTATGATCATAGCACTTCTTTACACTACTACATCACTCAATGTGGGATTTGATTCACAAATGTAAAATTGGAAAAGGCACCCTTCCTACTTCAATACGGGTTAATACTGCGCCACATTTCATTAAATTGATCACAAATTTAGTTCAAAAGTTGAATTTATATGCTTTTGGCGCTGTAGTCTTAGAGAACATTTCAACCTTGAGTTATGCATAAATGTGACAACTAAAAAAATTATGCACTTGCTTTGTTATCCTAAGTCGCTATATGTCCCCTTGGATGCTTTAAAACTTTAAGTATTCATGGATATTCATATATATTTAAAAGATAATAATTTGGGTCAATTTACTACGTAGAGAGAGTTTTTCTTCTTTGTTCTTCATTCCATATCTCTATATTGTGAGCTACCATGGGAGACAGGAAAAGTGACCTTGGCTGGAGAAACTGCCGCACCCTTGCCTAGAAGAGTTGTCGTCACCAGAGTCCAGTGTCACACAAGTTTTTTTCCTTGTTTGTAGTATTTTTCTTGCAGTAATGTGGTCACGACAGTGGCCAGAAGCGTCAAAGAAGAAATGATACGAGAGATGAGGAGGTTCAAGTTGGTGTAGGTGGGTCCTGCACATTGAGATGTTGAAAATTTAAGTGTAAATCTAAGTCTCATATTGAATAAAAATAAGAAAATAGAACATTATATAAAGACATGAAAGATCCATTATTTTATAATTTATGTCATTAATATTTGTAAACATTAATGGATTTAATAATGTTATTTGCTATTGATATCAAGTTTTTTTTTTAAAAAAAAAATATTAAAAAGGTGGATAAGACATGAAAGTGATGCAATGATAGATTGTAGTAGAGAATCATTTATCATTGTTACTAAACTGAAAAACTCAACAATATAAGTAATTATGTTTCAGACTTTTAAGAATAGCTTACGATGAATTACATTATCCAAAAATCATGTATCGTAGTTTATGAAGGGGGGTGTTAGAACTTGAGAAGAAAGTGGTTATGATTCGATTAAACTAGCAATTACATGGTATTCATCTTACCATCACTGAGACAACGAAACATGTGGTTGTACCTTCAACCTTCAAAAGTATTAGTTTTAAGAAGTAAGAAGGTTTGAGAAAAATAAAATAAAAAACGTTTAAAGAGTTGAGTTGATGAATTTTAAAAAATAAAGAATAAAGTGAAACTATCACAATTTCATTCGAGTCAAGATATATTGAGATAGTCAACTTTAATCTCATTAGAGTTATATTTAGTACATTCTCAACAGTATCAAATGCACTTGACAAACATATTTATATTATTTACATTTTTTTAAAATGTAACAATAACTTACAACAAAATATTTTATTAAAGTTACTAACATAAATTTTATTTTATTTCAAGATAACTATAATATTACATCAACTTAATAATTAGAATTTAGTTAGATGTTGTATCATTCCAAAATTTCACTTTACTATATATTGAGACAAAACATGATTAGTTGTTTGTATGATTCAATTAAGTTAATGTTTTTTTTCTTATGAAATTTGATATGTTTCTATGATGAGCTTTTTCAATATCTAATGTATAAAGAATAAAAAGAAGCTAATTCCATCAACAATTTTTTATTAAACCAATTAAATTATACATTATTACAATCCAAAACCTTTCAACACCATTAACAAAATAATCTAGATATTGAAGCTGGAAACTCTGCTTTAAATGTCATTCTTTGATTGTTTATATTACAATATAAACACACATAATCAAAAGTCAGAAAACAATATTTTGATAGCTACTCTTCAATCAAATCAAATTCCTGTAAAGCTTTGGTAATTTGATTTTCAATCATAATCAATATTTTGTTTATATTACCATTTACTGTACCTAGACACACGATATTGAAAATCATCTCTCTCTTTTCACTAATTATTACACTTTAAGAATATTTTTGTGTGTTAAAAGTCTCTTGTTGATTATAAATAAAATCGTTGGATAAATTATAAAGAAACCCGAAAGATTTATCACTAAAAGCAAAACATTGTCATTTAAATATAATATCATAAGCAAAATATATTTTATTAAATTATTAAGAAAACTCAACATTCATTATGATAATAAAGAAACCGAGCTCCTACCTAATACACTAGTTAATAAACATAAAATGACATAGTTAAATATATATTTTGTCATAAGTAAAATTTTCATTTTTTTAAATAAAGCATATTGCTGTATAATTATACTTTTTATCTTTGAAAAAATGATCGAATGGTTATTAAAATTTTAAATATATATAGGAAAAGAAAAAAAAATTGTTTCTATAAAATTATAAGTAAAGTAAAAGAAATTAAAGATGATAAACTAAATATATTATAAATTATCTATTAATAGAATAACTTATAGATAGAAATTTAAGTTATAAAATTTCTAAAATAAATTCGTATAATATTTCTTTCTTATCTTCTATTATTCAAATTAATATATAAAAGTCAAATAAGTAGTTAATTAATTTAACGAATCATAAAAATATATAATGCATGGATAGCGGATGACGTGGATTGTAAAGTTCGAGTTCTTCGCCCTTTTTTTTGTCGGTTGTGTTTTCCAACACGAAATCCTTTTCATTTGTTTCTCCCAAAACAAACAAACCTTTGATTTCAGTTCTTCCTCAATTCAACTTCAACAAGAGGATTCTGCTGTTTTCTTCTACCTATCCTTTTAATTTCTCTCATCAGTTCACACAAAGACACAGGTATTTCATCTCCATCCATCTTTGTTTACTTCTCATTTCTAAATTGACTGTTAATGCTATTTCCTTCGTCACTCTTTACAATTTGTTCCTCTCCCTCTACTTCTATTTTTCTAGACCTTGTTTCCTGGAATTGTTTAACCAGCAATTTCCTGTACTCTCCAATGTTTTGCCTCGTAATATTCTCTCTGACGTAAGGGTTTGGTTTAAATGTTTCCTAAAGTAAAGTTGAGTTCTTTTCAGATTGTATTCGGGTATGAGATTACTGTAACCATCTTATAATTTCCAAATTTGGTTTATCGTCAGTGCAATATTTTCAACTGATGCTACAATTCCTTCTTCATGTATGGGTTATTGGCTCTTTGCATTGTAGTTGGCTGCTAATTGACACTAAGGTTGTATCTTACATTGGTAGAAAAAGTCTATGAATTATTGCTGTTCATCTGGTTCTGTTGAATTCAGTGGAAGTCTATGATCACGGTTTAAGCTTTAAAACCCTATAGGAGTTCCGTCAATGAAATTTACTGACAATAAGTTATTGGGTATGCGCCCTTTTTACTGAGAGCTAGGGATAATCTTTGCTTAGAGAAAAATTCTGTCTATATTCAGCAAAGCTTGTAAATTTTGGAGTTGGGATGAGCTTAGGATTACTGCATGCAACATTCTTGTTTATCTTGCAATCATATTGGGAAAGAAAGTTTTTCCATTTTAGTTTCATTACTATAAGCAAGCTAATATTGTTATTACTGGGGAAGCAGCAGCACCCATTTATGGCCAGCGTTGAATGGATAGATAGGATAATATCTGAAGGGGCCGTTCCACTTCTTGAGCCAGACAATTGTTCAAACGGTTGGGCTACACCTCCTGGTGATGTATTCATGGTCAGAGGCCCTGAGTATTTTAAGACAAGGGTTAAGATTCCTGCTGGTGATTATCTGCTGAAGCCTCTTGGTTTTGATTGGATAAAAAGTTCTGTGAAAATTGGGGAGATATTAAACGATCCAAATAGTAGAGTTAGGAAGGTCATAGATGATGAGTTTCCAGCAGCTGAAAAACCCTTTGTATGGGCCTTCAATATTCAAGTTCCAAACAAGGATAACTATAGTGCCATTGCTTATTTTACAACCAAAGAGAGAGTTCTTGAGGATTCCCTAGTGGACAAATTTCTGAAGGGTGACAATGCATTCAGAAACTCAAGACTAAAGCTGATTGCCAACATTGTAAAAGGTCCTTGGATTGTTAGAAAAGCTGTTGGAGAACAGGCTATTTGTGTGATTGGGCGTGCCCTTTCGTGTAAATATTGCACAGGAGAGAATTTCATTGAAGTAGATATTGATATAGGATCTTCCATGGTTGCAAGTGCAATAGTTCATTTGGCATTTGGTTATATTTCAACTCTGACTGTTGACTTGGCTTTTCTTATTGAGAGCCAAGATGAATCAGAGCTTCCTGAAAAAATTTTAGGTGCTTTCAGATTTTCTGATCTTGATCCTGCTTCAGCTAGATCAGTTGAACCATCATCTGCTTTGAACTGTGACGATGTACAAACATCTTTACCTACTAGATTGTGGAAGTCAATTGGACAGGGCTTTTCCCATATTCTTCATTCAGGTCCTCAGGAAGATGGTTCCTCTTCTGATTCACAACATGCTAAAATTGTAGCAGATCACAAAGATAATACAACTGAAGTAAAAAACTGGTGAGTTTTATTTGTTTGTGATTTGATAACCATTTTGATGTTAATTTAGAAACATACATCCTCGTATGTTTGGTTTCTCATTTGGGTTTAATGTGCAATGATTTTTTCTGCAGATATATTGGAGGAATTGAAAGGGTGTGGAGTTCCATTTGAGATGATTATTCTTTTAGCCATTTTTTTATTATTCAGTTCATAGCATCTGTTGTATTACTTGATTCTTTCCTATGTCAGTATTTTGTAATACTACAGAAACTTAGAAACCTTAAGAGTGGCTACATTTTTTAGCTGGACTGTTATGTATATCCTTTAAAGTAAATTCTACTGTTTATAGTTGATGGGTTAGTCGTTATGCTATTTCTTTATGGTTATCTGAATAGAATTGCTTCAACTTTTGGCTGTTTCTTCTGCGGCTTCAAATTTTTTAAAAATTTTAAAATTATTCTCTGCAATTCAAAAAAATCCCACGTTTTTTTAACGAATTTCAAAATTTGTTAAATAATTTTTTTAACAAATTTTAAAATTTGCTAAAAATAGTTTCAAAAGTTTTAACCAATTTCAAACGTTAAAACAAATCTTTCAACAAAGAAAAAAAATTATATTAACATATTTCAAAATTGGTTAAAGAAAAAAAAATCTTTAAACATATTTCATTTATTTAAGGTTTAATGTCTCGGTAGGTCCCTATTTTCGGCGTGAATTTCAAATAGGTCCCTTTTCTTTTCGGCGTCTCAATTGGGTTCTTTTTTGTGTAAAATTGGAGCAATTAGGGATCTGCCGTCAAATTACACAAATGGCCGTTTAAGTTTGCCTACGTGTTATTAAAAATGATTTTGAATTAATTTTTGTATTAAAAAATGGATTTGTTCTTCAAGGGCAAAAAAGGCAACAGTCCTTTCACAAGGTTCCTTTCTCTCTCTTTCTATCTCTCTGTGTTTTTCGTTTCGAGGTTCTTGATATTTCTTTCACTTGGAGCGAAACGTGCGAACACCTTCGTTCAAGGTTTCGAGATTATTGCTTTGCTCGCTCGCGCATTGCTGGAAAATGAGAAACAACAGAACGAATTAATCCACGTTTTAGAGATGCTATCAGATATGGGTGCGATTTTTCTAATCTTAGGTTTGTTAATTGTGTAGATCCTTTTCATGAGGTGAAGAGCAAGCGGGAAAAGAAAAAAGAGGTGGACGATTTTTTTTGTTGTTTTCAGCTGTTCAGGATTGATTCCATGATATCTTAAAAACAAGAAGAAAGAATCTGTCTTTGATATTCAGATAATCAAATTATCAATTCGGTTTCTTCTTTCATGACTGTGTTCTACTGCTGTGTGACAGTAGGTGAATCTGTGTGCTAAGTTTGTACGTGGATACGAAGAGTTTGTTTGACTTGAGCATTTTGTTTCT